ATGAAACTTCTTCGAGGGTTGAAGCCATGATTTGTTCCGTGGTCATCGTTTTCTCTTGAAATGAGGCTGTGGTCTCAAGGATGTTACTGTTTATTCAAATAGGGGCAAATAACCTCAGATGCGGATGTTAGCAAAGACTCCTTTGAGTGAGCAACCCAAGTGTAGTCCAGATGTCCCTTTGTGAATTAGGCCAACACTCCTAAACCTAGTACATAAAGAGGTACTTCCCCTCTTTAAGCATGGACGATCAGCGGGAATTTTGGGAATTGCCCATAAGAGTCTCAACCTCGTTTTGGGAAAGGTAGGGCGGACCACAATTAACAACCTTGAACAAGTTCCGCGTCTGAAAGTTATAAGATAAAAGATCAAAGGATAAAATGTCTACCGTTCATCGATCCCTTTGGATGCGGCACGCACTGCGCCTCAATTCAGAATCAATAGCGCTCTAAACCTTATGATGCTGTGGCCCACACAGTGACTTACAGACAGCCGATCGGCAAGTCACTGCTTTTCATCGCCTGCTTCCTCCCCCCCACCGCCCGACGAATATCTGTACATCCGTCTCGCGGGGTAGTATGCTTGCGCTGGCCTGGGCAGGATCCGATCGCAGAAATTTATTAGTAGGGACTTGAAGCGTAAGGTTTAAAGGCCAGTTGGCACGATGATCTGGGGCTCGACCTACATTGCTAGTAGGGCGCTATATAGTGGGGAAATGGTGAAAGAAAGGAGTGAAACGGTCAAAATTCCACGAAGAAGGAGCCTCTGCTTCTTAATGACTCCAAAATCGATTTTGGACGAGTTTCCCGTACGCATTTTGCCAATAACCGCTATCGAAGGTACGGCTGCATATGTGTTCCCATGCATTCATGCAGCATCACGGCCGCTTCATACCAATCTCTTCGTTCATAATTTACTTAGCAAATGAAGCAGTACGAGCGTCAGGAACGGTTGTCGATTTACGTGCGGGCGGGCCGGCATGTTGTAGCTTTACGGGCTGACATAAAAGCATCCTTCCTTGGGAAGCGCGTTTAGGCAACCCTGCTCAGAGTCGTAGAATTCGCTTGTCAAGTGTATTAATCCTAGTTCGCCTCGGGGGATTCATCGTCAATTGCCTTTGAGGCTGAGTTGACTTACTTAAACATGCCGTAAATGACTCTAAAGTACGGTGAGTTTTGTAGCTTTCACTATCACTTGTATACTCTCTTGTTACTTTTATTCTGATATTTCTCTCAAGAAAGCGATGAAGCTCAGCTTCTCGCTAAGAACAAAGGAAGCCACTTTTCGAGACGCTCACGGTTTCCTTCACTTCTATTCTTTTTGAGAAGCAGCCTTCACCACTACCGGGTTAAGGATGGCACCAAATGGTGCGAAATATCAGGCTGGCTGCGCTACAATCCTCGCCTCTTCAGTCCCCCTTGTCCGCAGTGATAACCACTGTACCCATAATAGAATTATTTTAATCTACGCGCTTTTTGCGGATGTTTTGACATGCGAGTGCTCGCCAATCAGGGAGAGCAGGTCGTATGGATTCCTCGAGAGTCCCACATGGCTTCCTTAGAAGCTTCAAATTGTACGTATCCCTAGACGTCAACAAAGTGTTCATGAAGAGCTGGATAATGATAGACACTTCTTATAAACATACCCGGTAAGGATAAAGAATCCTTATGAGAAAGCGATCCACATGACAGCCAATTTAATTTCATTCATAACAGTTCACACATAAACAAGCAACAACGAGTTTTGTTTCTTCTGGAAAACACAAATAGGTCTTCAAGTGGGTCGAATACTTCCTGATCCCTTTCTAGCTTTAGATTCCGCTGTGCTTCTCAGGGAAAAAAAATAGAGACGTTCTTATTACAGCCATGTTTGCATTTACTTATGTAAAATTAACTGTTTCGAGATATAGGTTGGAAAGAAAGTCCTGTCAGTGTTTTTCAGATAGCCTACAGTTTTTGATCTTCGAAGCTCGAACATGACGTAACATGCTAAGGTTGTAGAACATTCTCGAAGCTTTTCCACAAGAGGTATATCAAGGCTCCTGCTCTTCCCTGTGTTTATTTATGATGTCAGTTTCACTGGAGCAGCTTCGAGTGATCATCTTCTATGAGTGGCGCCGCGGCACTGGAGCGACGGCAGCGGCCCGTAACATCAACTGTGCATTGGGGGAGGACACCACCACCGTCAGGACTGTCCACCGTTGGTTCGCTCGCTTCGCGAAAGGAGAGACGATCTTCGAAGCAAACCTCGTCTGGGACGCCCTCGCGGCGTAGAAGATTCCGCGGCCGCTCTCGGAACCTGTCCGAGGGGCATGCCCAAAGGCTACCACGCGTAGTATTGGAGACAAGGCTAGGGCTGTAGCATACAACAGCTAAGCCGCCTTCAGGCCCCTGGCTAGAAAGAAAAGTCCTCACGCGATGGATACCTGTGTCCATGTCACCATGTCAGGGTGAGCATCTGTCGATCCCTCCTTCTACACCGTAACCGGAAGGAGTTTCTGGAAGATATTGTGACTGGAGATGAAAGCTGGGTCCTCTATGATTCCAACCTACGTCGTGCCATGTGGCTCCCTCGAGGAGAAGACCCGCCTACGCAACCCAGATCGAACCTGCACTCCAAGAAGGTCCTCCTCTGCTGCTTCTGGGATTCGAAGGGCATGCTGCATCACGAGCTGCCTCCGCAAGGGCATACGGTTACCGCTTCGCGTTTACGGCGCCGCCCCAGCCTTCCAGAAACTCGCGCAAGCTCTTCGAGAAAAGCGGCCGAGACGAGCTTCGGTGCACCTCCTCGCATGATAACGCCAGACCACATGTGGCTAAAGAGACCCACACGACAAAATTGAGGAGCTAGGCTGGGACACCGTATGACTTGCACAAGCAAATAAGCCATTTCACAGTCTTGTATTTGCGAGCAGATTTGTATTTCGTTGTGTGTTTTGACACTTGTAAACTTTGAAAACCAAAATTTTATCGGATTAAATGGAGCTCCGTTGCAGCCTGCTAAGCAACTTACGTTTAGCAAGATTTTCCAGCCCGTGCATGAAAGGCAGCGGGAAAGAACTTTGCTGCTGTTGCTATTTTACCCTACGTCACGCCAAGTTACACCAGCGATTAGGAACGCGACTACTTCATTTATCCAGAGGTGTAGCGTTTGCTAAGAGGCGAGTTTTATGGTGCATTCTTACTTGTGGGATAACTGAGCGTTTACCACCACATAACATTCCATCATGTCCCAGGATTTAACATCCTAATCAAGTTGCTGTCAGGATTTTCTCGGATTCGAGATCTGCTGGTCCAACTAGGGGTCGTTGTGCGGAATTTCCGAAATTTCGCTAAATACGATTCCTACTGAATTTCCTGCTCCAGTGCGACCACCGCCCCCCTTCAACAACGATCAAACATACTGGCAAAAATTTGTTTGGAATTGGAGGGTAATTACCGAAATTTGGAGGAACCTGAGGCACTTTCTATGCACTGTCGTTTTGCGGAACGCCTCACACCAGGCGGTAGGATAACATGGCGTGAAATGGGAACAATATTCATGAAATGCGAACAATCGGGAAAGGTCGTCCAGGCCACATGGGCCTTCATGCTCCTCCAGCAGATCAAGATACGACGCCCTTCCCTCACGTAAAAGATCGTCATCGATGGCCTGTTCCTTGTGCCATGGGCTCAGTATCCTCGAGGTAATCATTTTCTAAGAAGTTTAAGAAGGGGATCATGTTTGTGGCCCCATTTGAGAGAGCTCTTGTTGAGTGACGATTTTTTGTCGTTTCAGGTCCTGGGCCGGTAACGTCCAATTCTAGTTCTGTCGCTTGGTCGGCAGATCGGTCCTTTCGGGATGCGGAATTCAAAACAGAATGGAGAGCCGTTTAATTGCTGTGAAGGGAACGGTCGTATTTTGCGACATTCTGCCACATTTTAATTGTGTGGCTGTGTCTATCCACTCGACGGTGCCGCAGGAAGGAGGAAGGGGTGACGAGAGAGGCGTTGTTTTTTGGGAATCTCTTCCCACCAGAACGATGTACATCTGTGTGCGATCAGTATCCGGGATTCTGTGGATTGGCTTGTCCGCCCCCGGTTGCTTAAACCGCGCTCCGCCTACCCTTTTTGAATTCCTCTTCACTCACTTGTTCTCTCGCTAGGAAACATGAAAGAAATTTTTTTGCATGCTTATTCTTCGTGTGCTTCTCCCATGCTGTTGGGAAACCCACAGGCTGTTTCCTTACATCACAATCAGTTGCTTTATCTGGCGCGAGATTAAGTACGTAAGCTTAATACGCGCTCCAATTTGGCTAAGCTGTTCTCGCATCTGGAGAACTGCATATGAATGGAATGCATTGCGGATCTACACATCTTGTCAGTCTGGGTGCCTAAAGGCGTAGTCCCTTGTGGAAAGAATTGCTTAGTTGTAGAGGTGGCCCATTCTCAAAGCGTCCTACTTACTCGGCATGGACTATTAGAGACTAAAACACATAAGTGCAGTATACGCACTCGTGGAAGTGCCCTAGCCATCTGGGAATAAGGAACAACAGCGTCCTAGGTAAGTGCGACTCGTTGGTTTCATCTGTGTAGGACCAGCACTTGTCACCTCTTCCTTTTTTCGGCTCGTCTTGCTGGTCATCCAATTCCTCTGGTCTTTCACCCTCACAGCATTGTCCCACTTTTCGATACTCCTCCATTCCCTGATGACGTGATCTAGAGCTTATTCAGCGGCTGCTCGCGCTCTTTTCTTTACTAACAACTTCGCTGACATCTACGTATCCATACTTGTAAGCCCACAACTGACGAATCGCAGTCACGGAATGTGTCTTTAAGTTCAGTTCTGTCATTAATATCATTTCAACAGAAACTTCTCGAATACTTTTATCCTGTCTTTACTGTGAGCTCACCAAATTCCGAGAGTTCTCTGATCTAATAAATATGATTTTTTTCAGAGATGTTGTTATTAATTCCTCGTCTTCTTCATTAGCTACCACATAATCTACGGCTGTGAATGGCGCCATGACAGCCCGATCTGATGTCAAGGCTCAAAGATTAGCGGTATAGGAATCTAGCACATTCTTCAGATTCTTGAATTAGCCTTACTATTTTCAGATCTCCTCATGCCAGGCTTCTCAGGGAACGTATGGTAATCGCGCTACCATCAGAAAATCTCGCAAATGTCGCCACAGGCAGAAGGTTCGCGTCTTATTTCGCAGGTAGATATTTCATTCCTTTGGAGCTTCTTGCAGTTCTTAGTGCGCTTCATAGCGAGTACACTGGTGTGCAAAACTTAGGGACGAAAGCAACTTTCGATCACTGTGCCTCTGCCAGACAACATAGCTCGATGAAATTCATATCATATCAAGAGAGAACCTTAACGATATTGTACAGAAAGCAACTGACAGAAACTCGGAATAAGACGAATTGTTATGACATTTTTATTCAACCATGTCGATTACACATAAGTCTTCACGATTTATCCTGGTACTACAAAAGAAGTTACACGGATCCTAATAGGGTGTGTGATCACCACGGACAGCAATACATGCTCTGCACCGCGATCCCATACTCTCCACGAGGTTGGTAATGAGTTCCTGGGGCAGGGCATTCCACTCCTCAATCAGTGCATTTGACAATTGCTGGATCGTCATTGGTGCATTTGGTCGTGCTGCAATGCGTCTACCCAGTGCATTTCACACGTGCTCGATGGGATTTAGGCCGAAGAACGGCCGGGCCACTCCATTCGCCGGATATCCTCTCGTTCTAGAAGCTCCTCCACCTGCTGTTCGATGCGGTCGCGCATTGTCATCCATGAAAATGAAGTCAGGGCCGATTGCAGCTCTGAAAAGACGGACATGATGTAGGAGAACCTCGTCGCAGTAACGCTGACTGGTGAGGGTTCCATGCTCAAAAATCTGGAGGTCAGTACGGCCATGCAACATGATGCCTCCCCATACCATTACACCTATCGACCACCAGTACGATCACGTTGCGACCACTGTCTCCGGGAGTTGCGTGGTTCCCACGCTCTCGCCATATGAGCGCCTGCGCTGATGGCGCGGGGTCAATGCGCGGGGGTCAAAGGAACACAACGTAACGGTCGTCGGGCGAAGAGACCACCACCATGCAGTCGTCTTGCCACTGTAGTGCGTGAGATGGCTTGCCCTAGAGTCCTGTTAAACGTCGTTGCAATAGCGAAAGCCGACTGACGAGGATCTCTTCTTGCCTGCTGCACAATGTAGTGCGGTCGTCCCTTGGTGTAGTTGCTCCTTGGTCGGGCCACATCCTCGTCTTCGAGCAGCAGTACCAAAGGTTCGGAACGCTCTCCACAGTTCTTTGCAGCTACTCGTTGATTGAGAAAAAAATTTTTTCATACCCATAGACTGCCTCGATTTGCGCGGTCGGCCATATTTGGCACTTTATTCAAGCTCTTCTTCCACCGAGAAAAGTCTAGCTTCCTGTGCATATCCCTTAGGAGTGGCAACATGCTCCCACACTTTCATTTACTTCCACCCAGTCATTAGTGTTTTATGTTACTTTATCCATCTCGTCCCTAAGTTTTGCACACCAGTGTAGCTAATTATGTGGGCGGGAAAAGTCAACCAAGTGTACATTTCTTACTAGTGCGCTTCTCATTCCGCGTCAGTAAAAGACGGGTCGCGCCAATGAGCCACCAATGAGGAAGGCAGAATGCTTAACAGTCTCCGCCCATACCATGATCGTGATGTGCCCTTATAGGCAAATCCGGTGATATACCGTCGGAAAGCTCCGAGCGATAAGGTTGAAAAGTAGGAGTGCACATGTTTTTGACTAACCCAAGGAAGAGAAAACAGAGAAAACCACAGCGCGGAGAGTGTATACGAACGAGCGAGACGATAGACACCAACGCGAGGCGGGGTCGGCTGGCGAGCCGCTTGGAGAACGTCACTCCTTAACGATCAACCTAGCAACTTTCGGGTGTGATATGGTACAAGGTTATTTATTCAGCCCATTTTCCCCCCTCTATTCCTCATGCGTCTTTGATGGAATAGAATGTAAAATAACTTCGATTCCTTCCACTCGATTTCGGGATCATTTTTCTTCATTTGTAGGCGTCGTGACATAAAAGACGATATTCTCGATGAAGACGCAGCAACTGCGATCTTTGGTAGCGAAGGAGAAGAGCCCAAGCTACATCGACATCCAGTGAGTCTCGTTAGGCTTCTAATCTTATACACTTCTATCCGCCAGCTAATCCGCTGGATCTATCCCCAAGAGGACACCTGACATGGCTAGAATTGGGGAAAAAATCGGAGAAAATTGAAGAATCTCAATCTCATTTCACATGTTCCTCATTCGGACTGTTGAGGCTAGCTACCACTACCCGCCTCTCCCACGGTCCGCTGAAATGGCCTCGTCAGAAAATTTCATGGAATTTTAGACCCCTATAACAGTCTCACCCTCTGGAAGATTGGGTCAAATCCAAATTAGAAAGTTTATAATCGTTCTCGTGGAGGCAAGGATCTCTTGCGGTAGGTATGAAAACAAGCATAACTGAAAAAAACGGACAATTAGAGAAGGTGAACCTGTTAGGGTAGTTTCGGGCAAATGTGGTTAGGGATCACACTGCGGTGCGACTATGACACTTTATGCCTGTTCGTCTACGTCCTCTCAACAAGATATTACGCAGAGGATAAGATGAGAGGAGTTGGAACTTGATACGCAGAGGGTACGTGCATGCTACTTTCCCATTCACAACCATCTTTTTGAACTAAAAGTGCTCGGAACTTCTTCAAAACTGTTTCAGATACCCCCCCCCCTGTGAGAGGGTTAGACAAGCAGACCTGACATGGTCCATATTGCCACCACGGGCTTCCCCCAAGGAACATTTGTGATGGTCTTTCCTGCACAAAGGGCGACGTGATAGGCAGATTTCCACGAAATATTGATTTTTTTCTCAACTTTGAGTTTTCTAGTCAAAGGTGCACTGATCGTCTGCTTGCGCGGCCTACGGGTCATATCAGGAATACATGAAAGGATGCTACTTTATGAACTTCCATTTATTGTTTCTTTTCTTGCTTCTCCTACCCTTTGACACCCATTCAGCGAGAAATTCCATGGCAAATTTCAGTGATACTCCGAATTCTAGTTACTTTTTACTGGACTCACACAGAATTTTCAGATTGGTCCTCCGGCACCTCCCACTCAAGCCGAATACCGTCGTCAGATGCAGGTGATAGCTTCAGGGCAAGATCACGAAATGCAGTTTTCTCCCGCACTATTCGAAAGGTATCGCTCTTCTGAATTATTCCTGAAGACATAAGGCACGATAATTTGGTACTTGGTCTGAAATAGAGGCAGGGGTGCATATACAGGGAACATGACGAGAAAGCGAAGTGAGACGGTCGAAAGCCCTGCAAGAAAAGCCTTTGCTCACACGTCTCAGAAGACTTTTCGTCATGTTCCCTGTATATGCACCCCTGCCTCTATTTCAGATCCAAGTACCAAATTATCGTGCCTTATGTCTTTAAGGAATTTCAGAAGAGCGATACCTTTCGAATAG